TTTTTTTTTTTTATACAAATAACATGTTTAAAGAAAAACAAATGAGAGAAATATCTATGCAATATCTTGAAAACCAGCCGCTATTAGAAGATTTTAAAGGGTTAGTTAGTAAGGAACTACCAGAAGTATTACTGCCATTGGAGAGCATTCAACATGCCATTAGTTTTATAGCAGAAGCAACTTCACATAATGTGCCTATTTATAGAATGCTCTCAGTTCAGTAGACAAAAATGCAATAACAAGTAGAAGAGTTAGCCCCACAAAATTCTAATTTATTTTCCAAAGAGGTGGTGAGACTACATGGTATTCAATCACCCATTGTTCATTATAGGAGTGTTAAAAGTTTGAGGGACATTTTTGGAGGACTTCATGCAAGAAAACTGGTCCAGATAAATATGTTGAAGAAAAGGCTTTTGTTTGAACCAAGCTTAGTTCCCAACCCAAGGAAATGATGCAGGAGCATCAGTGTTTTAATTCAACGCAAGTTAAAAAGTCTTTAATTTTTATTTGGAGTCTAAGCTTTAAATCTTAGGAAAGTCATGCGGTTAGCATGTGACTAATTAGGATTATAATTAGAAGGTTAATAGGGATTAGAGCTAGAATTGAATTAGGAATTTATTCTACTGTTATATAAATATATATATATATATGGATGTTTTCAGATCTCTAGGGAAGTTTTTATCATCAAATTTTATTATGAGAATAAACTTGACATTGAAACCCTAAGTCTTCTTGGTTCCATCTTTGTTGTATGAAGTTCTCAGTTTCTGTTTTTTCTACCCCTATACTCCCTGCGTCATAAATTCCACTTAGGTGGATCACAATAGAAGGTGGTTAGTCCAAATGAACAGAGAGAAAACCCATTAGCCATCATGCATCAGGGGCAAATGGGCAAAAGGAAAGACAACATCATCCACTTCCACATGGCCAAAAGGTAAAGAAACAAGTTCTAAACCACATTATGACAATTGAATCAAAATAAAAAATTTTTTTAAAAAAATGTCAGAGAAATATTAAAAAACAGTAAAAAAAAATTCTAAAAAAAAATTACACTAGTGCCTGGAGCAGGAGTGTGAATTTGGCACAGCACAAAATAATATAATAGCAAAAGCTAGAGAATTTACACTAGTGCCTGGAGCAGAAGTGTGAATTTGGCACAGCACAAAATATAATAACAGCACAAAATAAACAAGAGGGCAGTGCAACACAAAATAAAATAACAGCAAAAGCTAGAGAATTTACACTAGTGCCTGGAGCAGGAGTGCGAATTTGGCGCTCAAAGATCCTAGCGGCAACATTGTTGCTCTTGAACATCAGTGCCGATGGGAAACCTCAACTAATCGAGACAATTCTCAAATGGGAATTGGACATCCGTACGAAACCCACGACTTCCTTCCTTTATATTCACAATTTCACAGCAATCGAACACTTACCTTGTGGAATTTGGATGGGAAATGATTTTGGTTACTCGCAATTCTTGAACTTTAAATTGAAATAAATTTAAGAGAATCTAATGGACGATCATATTTTCATCAAATTGAAAACAGAATGAACAAAGCAACATCATCGAGTTCGCACAAGTAAAACCAGAGTACAACAGGCAAGAATCACTACCATAGAACCAGTATCGGTAGCAAACACCGACCCATTTCTCTAAATTCAAGGGATATGAATTTTGGGAACTGAATGATTTACCTCAATTTCCACCTTTTTCGGATCGATCGAAATTTTCTCCCGGTTCTTTCTTCATCGGTTCCTTTTCGTTCTCTGCTTGTTCTCCGATTTTGCTCTCATTTTCTCCCTGGTGACTAGGTGTTTGGCCTAGGGTTGCAGAGAGAAGGAACCCTCCTCGATTTCCCTGAGTTTGAGTGCTGCAGAGACGTGATCGGTGTCTGTGGTGATGAAGAATGTCTCCTGGCGAGAGCGGCAGAGTAAGAGACTCCAGGGGCTGCCGGCGGTTAAGAGAAAGCAGAAGTCTCCTTTAGCGTTTGTCCAAGTGTATGGCAGTGGTCAAGAATGGATTGGAACCCCCTACCCGGCTACCCCTAGTTCGTGTAGCAGACAGGGTTGAGCGAACGTTCTCCTAGGGGGAGAGCAAACCCACGGGAGAAAAGGGGCGTGTTCAGCTACTTTGGCTGACGGTGACTGGTGGCCGGAGAAGGTTATGGAGATAATTGGATCAGAGAGACCGACAGGTGAGAGACGCGGCCTGAGGTCTGAATGAGTTCTTATGCGGGGCTGCCAAGATAAACGAGCCACAGGCCACCCTAACCTTTTAAATGCCATTGATCAAGTGCACTAAGTTTGATTTTTATTATTTTTGCTTTTATCCTATACAATTTTAGTCCATTTCTTCATTATTGTTTCATTATCCCCCTAATTTTTTTTTTTTTTGGTTTCGGGCAAATCAGCCCCTGTACTAGTCAAATGGTGGCAAATCAACCCTTAATCTAAAAATAGAATGCAAATCAACCCTTTAACTTAAGGTATGGTAGTAAATCAACCCTTTTCTCATTTTGACATCCTTAAAGGGATAAATCTTAATAGAGAGATGATTATGGTGGGGTCCATCACTTACATGGCAACAAGGTAGCAATTTTTTATCTTACATTAGAATGAACCTACTAAGTATACAATAAGTTGGCAACTTATAAGAATGACCATTATAACTCATACTCAACCTATGGAAGATTTCCATTATTCCTCTTAAATTTTAGAAGAGAATCGAAACATTAACAAAGGAATCTTCTTCCTATTAGGTATAAGAGGGCAAAGTGGAAACACAAATTAAAAATTTTCCTCTTTCAATCCATAAGACCCTTATAAATCTATTGATAGTTAAGGAAGGTATGTAATTAGTACCTCAATGATATGTGGATGACGTCCTAAATCCCACACCTAAATAAAATTGTGAGTGTAGTTGCATATAACTGTCATGACTAACTCGTATTAATAACTTGAGTAGAGGCTTTTGAGGACCCAAAAACCTTAGCCTAAAAAGTTGTTAGGCCAATGACAAGCTTCATGCTAGGTCATGTCACTTGGAATTAGAGAGGTCATCCTTTACAAGTGTGGGCTCATGCTATTCATACATCACTTGGGTTGGATTTTATGCTTGTGGGCTAATGGCATTGTTTTAATTGTAATGGGGCTTCTAAGCCAACGAACCTTATTCTAATTATTATTAGGCTTGATAAGGAAATTTTAGCATTTAAATAAGGAAATTGTGACACCTCGAATCCCATATTAAAATGGAAGTATAAGTATGAGTGGTATATAAAGGTGGAAACCAACCAATACTGATAACTTGAACTTATGCTTTTGAGAGCCTACAAACTTCAGCTTGAAAAGTTGTTAAGCCAATGACGAGCTTCGATTTGGGCTATTTCAACATGGCATCAGCCTCAAACTCTAAGGTCCACACTTAAGCATGCTACTTGGTCCATTCATGAAAACAACAATAGCCCTATTTATTTTGCTTCACATTTCATGCATACACCAAGTCTAGCACAATGTGTTGCCCATCTGCCTAACGTGCACACTTAAGTTTGCATGACACTCCTAGGTGTCAATAGTTAGGATAGGCAACCATGTTGGCCTATTTTCGGCTCATGTGAGTGACCTCAAGTGTGTGTGCCTATACTTACAATCCTGTCCCTAAAAGGTGTCGAGACTTGCACGATGCCAACCCTTTACACCTAGTTCCAACAACATGGCTAGCATTGCGCACACTTGATTTCACATGACTCTCACCAGGTGTTGAGGACAAGCACCTCGGCCTACAATAGGCCTACACAAATCATCTCAACTAGCATGCCTGTGCATACATAGCTCATCCTTGGAAGGTGTCAACAACATTATAGCAATAACCATTTTGTGCTTATTCCAGCAACATAGCTAATACTTGCACTTATCCTGTCCTGCACCATATATGGCTAGTATCTACAATGCTGGGCACCACTACCCCATGTACACGCCACAATACCCTCCATTTTGGGCTTAAATCATGATTTTAATTCTCATAATGAACTCAATTTTTTGAAAAACACACTAATAATAACACCAATTTAATAACTGAATTGAATAACTATCAATAGATGTTATAAGTCACTCTAATACCACTTTTGAATTGACTCAAATACTCTAAGAGAAGGGTTAATTAGAGTGTTTAAATTTTTCTTCTTTTTGTCAACCACCAAATGCAATGAAAAGGAAAAAGGGGAAAAGAGCTTGCATAATCAATTTTATAAAACTTCAACCCAACCACTTAGCATTTAATCCTCTATCTTGGCTTCACACATTAAGGAGTTCCTCCTCACTTTCAATTGGTGATCAAGAGTAACTTAAAGAAGCAACTCAATCTTTTACTAAGTGTTTTTCACTCAAACACTCCCTTTTACAAAGATCCTCAATGAAGCTCACTTGGTCTCTCTTGAAGGCTTCACTCACCCTCAAGTATCACTTCTTAAAGCTTCACTCACTCTCAAGATCACAAATGAAGGGTAAAGAAAGATTATAAAAGACATAATCTCTCCAAGATCTAATTTGCAAGCATAAGTTCAAAACTTTTGAAAGAATTTGCAAATCTAAGCTCAACTCTTATTTTCGATCTTTTAATATGTGTGTCTAAAGGCTTCTCAAGGTGTTTACCAACTCAATTTATAAACTAATGGTCAAAAATGGTCATTTCTAGCCATTACAGTTTAATAAATGCACTGTAGGTTTATTAAGATTTGAAAATAAACGTTGCAAATTTAAGCATTTATGCTAGTTTACCCTATCAAAGCCAACGTAGCTAAGTCGACTTTGTTGTAGCCCTTGCACTTTAGTTTTCTTTCAAGGCAACTATAAAGTCTAAGCCAACTTATAATTTGAAAACCTATGAAATTATTAATTTGAATGTGTTGACTGTTGCGGCATTAAATGTTGCAAATGAACTAGCTTAGCTTTTTCTAAACCAACTTAACTGGACACATTTTAACATTGTGAACTTTGCTTTCTCATCCAACTTTGAGAACCATATCTTCCTTATCCAAACTTTGTTTTGAACATTCTAATACTCATTGGAATGCTTGGGACATCTACTTCCATATAAACTAACACTCTTGAACCAAAACTCACACTATATACATATATATTTTTGAATAAATGAACAGAGGTCATTGTTGCAATGCATGAAAGCTTGATTTTATATTAACTTTCTCTTTAAAACTCCTTCCTTAAATCCTATACACTTGCACAAAATTCATTAAAATTTTCCAATAGTTTTGTTTTCATCAAAATCATCATAGGAGCTCAACATGTTTGGTTTAAGAGGGCATAACAAAAGCAATAAAATTAAAAATTTTTATATAAACTTAGCTAAGATCTTTATGAATTCATTGACGATTAAAGAATGTTAAGCATCAACAGCTTAATAAAGTATCTCTTTGATGTGTAGTTCTAATCTACAACTTTTACACAAAGCCTAGAGTCCAAGGAAAGAGCTCCTCTAGCCCCAATCCACATGTATGCTATGGGGTTCAAAGAAAATTAGATATCCAAAAGTGCTAATAATTGAAAATAAGAAGATTAGATATCCAAAAGTGCTAGTCATTGAAAATATAATTGAGCTTCCTTCCTCTTGATGGAGAATAATTTTAGTAATATAAAATTCTTTGATGCAAAATCAATCAAGGATATTATGTTTTCTACACCTTTTTATATTAATAAGGAATAAGAAGGCATGTTACCCTAATCCAATTACAATGGCCGAACTTAGTCTTCTAGTCAAAATAGAAAACCTAAAAGAAGAAAACTTCTCTTACTTAATTTTTCTCCTTTCTTGCTACACACCCTAGTCCATATTGGATTAGGATTTTCGACCAAGGCTCCAAGCCTTGGATGCCACCTAATCCTAGTCCAATATGGTTTAGGGTTTATCCTTCAAGGACTTAATTGCCATTTTTAGATTTTCTTGTCCTTAACTTTAAACAAATCAAAACTTGAATTAATTAAATTAGATTAAATTAAATTAGTTTTTTCTACCAATTTAAATTCGAAACTAGCTAGATCAATTTTTTTTTTAAATGAATTGAAGCTAGATCAATTTATTTCTCCTATGAAAGTAATATTTTCACATAAATTAATCCATATTATAAATTTAGATTTATAAAAATCTCAATACCTATAATGCATGAAGAATGTGACCCTCTAGATTTCTATTACAATGGTAGTGAGAAACACTCATAGATCAAAAATGGTATCTAGCAACACATAGTCACTACCCAAAGTGATGAAATGTCAATAGCTTAGACAAACCTTCTTAAAACCGATACACTTGTATAATTCAATTCATTCATCATTGATATTGCCATCAAGCAAGATGCAAGCTATACATACTATGTATTGAGACCTAAAAGGAACATTAGAAAATAAAATAAAAAAACCTCACAATACTTTCTTACGTGTTTAACTCCACTCTCTCATATAGAGATACTCAATGCTCTTGTTTTGCATATTGCAAAAGTCAGCTTTTCTCTTTAATGCCACTCACAATTCTTT